TATTTTCTTTTAATTTTCTAATTTCAATTTTCAATATATTTCTATCGTTTCTTGTTTCTTTTACTTCATTTCTTAAATCTTGTTCATTTATTAATATTTTTATTAATGATTTTAATTCTCTCATATATTCACTTATTGACATCTTAATTTTTTCTTATTTCTAACTCATAGGTTAATTTGTATCTTTTATCTTCATTTTTATCTATTATTTTTACAAATCTTCTTTCAGCTGTATCTGAACTATTAATTCTTCTTTTACTATAGTAAAATATCTACTCTCAAGTTTTAATCTTTCGCATTTTATTTTTATTAATTGTCTATTATTCGATATTCTCATTCCTTATAGTATTAACATTATATTTTGTATTTCCTCTTGTATTTTTTCCATTTTTATAAGTAATTTATTCAATTTTAAATGTGCATTATCACTTGCACTCATATTCTTCTTATAAATTATTTTCTTCATCTTCATATATATTAATAATTTTTTCATATGTATATATATCCTTTATTTTTTCTATTATTAGTTTTTATAATATTTGTTCATTTATTTCCTTAGGTAACTCTTTAATTATTGTTAGTGTCATTATTTTTAATCTATTATAAATAGGTTTTAAAAATATATAACTACCTCTTTCTTCTTCTAAATGCCAATAATTATCTATTTTTCTTATTTTAATTTTCATGATCTCCATGCTTTTATCAAGATATTAATATTTGTGTATTATAATCAATTATTATTTTAAAAATGTATAATCTAAATATACCTTTAATTTTCTAATAGTTATCTATTATTTATTAAACTTATATAAAATCTAAGTGTTAATCTAAATCTAAAGATTTTTACTTCTTCAAGTAATCAATTTTTCAAAGGTTTTCTCATGATCTCTATGGTTCTGATACCAATAAGGGGGCTACTTAGAGCGAACAAAAATCAAATAAATCCAATTAAAAGTTTAATCAAATAAATCAAATAAAAACTATCAATTTTCAACCAATATTTAATTTTAAGGACTAAAATAGAAATTTTTTATATTATAGTGTCTTATTATGTAATATCCAAATGGGGGGGCATTTTTTGTATGTAAATTGACCAAATGTCATTTTGGAAAAGTGACTCTTTTCTAAAGACTATTTCTATTTCCATGTATTTCCCCTCCTCCATACATACATAGTCTAGCCTAGTGTCCACGTGAGACTACATTGTACTATGTGAAATCGCATAGTAACAATCTCTATTATTGACTTAAAATAAGGCACGTTGACTTTGAAATGTAGAGGGTATTTGGTAGGAATTTTTATGTGAAAATGCATTTTTGAATAGTAAGTTGATGGGAAATATGTGGTTGAAAAATAAGAAAAAGTTTTTGATTTATGTGTAATATTATTTTAATAAAGAATGTGTGGTTGAAAAGAAGAGAGAGAAAAATGCATTTTGATAAAAATGGGTGCCAAACAGGGCCTTAATCTATTGTGCTACCAACAATGCATTGTTAAAAAAAGATGGTTTATTTAGAGTACGCTTACCTACATTCTTTGTGACGGAAATATTTGGAGGCCTTTTTCACTCATATGATGTATTTTGCGTCAAATTTTAGGCCTATCAATTTCAAAAATGGATAAAAGTGTTACTTGTGACTTATCAATTTATTCGTTTGCATTATATAAGGAGTGATTTCTTTTGGTAACTCTTGTCGCCACAAGAGAGCTTTTAGATATTTCTAATGTTCCCTTGCCAATTCTAGAGCGTGAAGGTCACTTTATTAAATCCCTTAAATGAATAATACTATATATGCGCATGGTTATTAATATCAATTTGAGTGAAAAACCCTACCCGACCAATGATCAACAAACAATTGAATTGAACTCTTGACTACCCAATTAAATTGATCCAGCAATTCACTACACCACAATCAGTATCTTTACATACAAATGCATTCATAATGTATATATAGAATTCCAAGAAAATCATCTATTTATTTTTTAAAATTACACTCAAAATATTTTTAATCTACAATCACAAAAGTATTACATTAAAGTACATATAAATATAATTTAACGATCAAATGCAAAAAATTTTAAGAAATATTTTAGTAACTTTTTAATTATCAAAAAAAAAAAACTCTCAGAATTGAGCTAAAAATAATTTATTTCCTTATTACAAAATTATATGAAAAATATAAACATTATGGTAAATATATTAGAATGATTAAGACTAATGATAAAGAATTTAAAACTCACCATTTGTCTTAAAAATAATTTTTTTATATTTGAAAATTTTATATGATTTACAAGCATTGATCTAATTATTCAATCAGAATCTTGATAATTCGGTACCTTGATCGGATAGAATTGAGTCTTATAAGTAAGCATTCTTAGTTTTGCACTTCGAACATGATGTGAATGATTGCTAAAGGAGTTATTATTTTAGATATTCAAGTAAACCTAATAACTTAAAATTGTTGTACTGCACTTTAAATATTCATAAAAATAAAATTTAGGTGAAAAAACAATATAACAAATTATTTAATATTTCTCATAGCTACACTACCATAAAAGAGAGAATGAGGGTTTAATGTTCATTTTTGTCACACTCGTTTTCACACTTAACTGGTTTGGAAACTTGTTTTGCAACAGGAAAAATGCTATTCAAAAATACTGTAGGAATTTTGTTACACGTTATTGTCCACTGTAATATTTATCTCTTGCTTTGAATCTGACACACCATGCTCTTTCTCCTAATTCTCACGCTATTAACTATCAACCATATCTTATATATTTAAATTTTGAAAATTATATTAATAAACAAAATTATTGTAAATAAAATGTAAAAAAAAAACATATTCACTTCGTGTATGGAGAAAAAAATTACGTCGTGCCACATAATTTTTCTTGAGTAAAATGATGTATTGAGGAAAATTGTTTTGCTAAAAAATAATAAATAGTAATAAAATAATTAATTTTTTGAAGAAAAACAATTTATACGCATTTTTTAACACATACGTTTAATGTTCGTTTAACTATTTTCGATATTAATTTACATCATTCGATGTGTCTATGATATATTTCTCGAAATGAGTTTCGAGAGAATGTAAAACATTTATCGATTCAACTATCGTATAATGGTCGATGAATTTTTAGAGTTAGCTTGTTATCAAAATTTCGAAATATATTTTGAAAATGGCTATTTTGACGTCCCGTAACATTTGCTACGATTGACCGTTTCACGCACCGTTAACGAAGTGCAATACTATGTCGCGAGTACTTTAATATGATATTAAGAATAAAATATTTTGATTTCGTTTGATATCCCGTAATGAGCCTGAAAATAAACACAAAAACATAAGTTAAAAAAAAAAAAAACACAACGTGTAGTAAACCTCCGTGCACGGAGGATTGGGCTCCGTGCACAGATCAATGTTCGGACTAATGCACGTTTTTTTTTTTTTACTTTTATTTGTCATAAATTCTTTTATTAATATTTAATTTTAAAAAATTAAATATATTTAAATATTTACTTACAAATGTTAAAATTAATATTTTTTTTACCTATAAATAACATTTACCATTACAATTTTTTTATTACTTTTAAATAAATTTAGCCGATTTTTTTACTTATAGTACAATCTTTTTATTAATATTTAATTTAATAAACTAAATATATCTAAATATTTATACTTAACAAATTTTAAGTTAACATTTTTTTATATATATTAGTAGCTTTTGCAATTATATATAAGAGATTTAAAATCTAAAATGTAAAGAGTTACTTACTATTAGTATGTAAAAAAAATGGTAAAAGTTATTTCAGATCAGAGTTTAAAAAAAATTGTAATTGTAACTTCGATTTTTTTAAAAATTTAATTGTAAAAGCTATTTATAAGTGAAAAATATGAATTTCGATTTTTAAGTATATATTTGTAAAATATAAATAGTTACTTACGAGTAGAAAATTTGCTCCAAGTTACCTACGAGTATAAATTTTTTTGTCTTTTTTTTCTAAATTTTTTATTAAAATGATTTCAATTTTAATTATTTGTATTTATTATATTTTTTTACTTCTTTTCTGGTGGATTGGTGAAAATTGTATAGCTTCTTGTTAAAAAAAAAACTTAGAATGGTATTTTTGTCAAGTACGTTTTCAAATTGAACTAGTTTGAAATGTTTGGTTCAAATAGTTTGTCTTTTTCATTTAATATAATAAATAAAAGAATATATAAAAAATATATAAAGTAATGTACTATCTATCACTTTCTTAAGTTATCCAGTCTCTTTCCTTCCTTCAATTGGATTGATTTGTCTTCAAAAAATTTAAGCTTCCGTCTACGAAAAATATTTTCCATATTTAAAATTTTTGATATTCTTCTTTCTTTTT